AGAAATTAGTAAAGAAAGCCTGCAAACGACACTGCTATTACCGATTATCCCTGTATAAAAATGTCCGTAGAAAAGCGTTAAATAAGGATGGCGCCACTGTAGCTACAGTCTAAATTTTAAAGAACATTTTATAATTTTTTATTGCACAAACTTTCACCGTAATTCTTTTTACAATAATTATTTTATTGTTTTCAAAATTTTTAGTTTCAAAATCACTCTCAACGGTGCTGTTGTGGAGAGTTTTAGAACTGTTATTTATTGCTTACGGATGGACACATTTTCAACTAACGGAGATTGTCCTCCTTACCTTTATACTCCATGGGTGAGAGTCTGGTCATGTTAGGGAGGTAGTTTTGGCGGGAACTTGGCCATAGACGGATTCTCGCTCCTGTTTTGTCACTTGAATAATGGTTTGAAGTTGATTATGATTCGTAAAAGTGATGCGATTTTGTGAATTAAGTGTCCGCGCGTGTGAACTATTAGATAAAACGACGATACAAGTGCTTTGGTATCGATCTAAACCTCAAGTTATTTTGATCGCTTGGGCACCTTAAGAACTTGAGTGGCTGTCGTCATCAACTGTCCGCTAGGTTGAGCTGTCGTCAAAATCTCCCAAGGGCTTCGCAATGACGCATCAGCATATTGTGAAGAAAAAGAATATAAAATGAAGATTCCTAAAGAAATGATGGGCTCAAAAGGGCTAGAACCCAGAGCCGTAAAGCCAGTTAATAAATAATCATGTTAAAGAAATTTTATGCCATGGAAGTTAAAGAACAGGAGAACGATCACTACGTTATGGCTACAGATTCGTTGCTACAGCAGATCCCCTCCGCAGAGATCGTGATCCTTGGCGACTTTAACGCCCATCACGCCGAATGGCTTGGTTCACGTTTAACCGATCATGGTGGGATATCTGTTCATGATTTTGCCTTGGCATATGGTCTGACAAAACTGGTTACTTCGCCTACGCGGATTCCAGATGTGGAGGATCATGCACCTTCCTTGCTGGACCTTCTGCTGACCTCTCACCCGGACGGATATCAGATTTCCGTCGAAGCCCCTTTAGGCTCCTCGGACCATTGCCTTGTCCGGAGTGTGGTGCCACTCACGCTGAAATCGCAGTTGCATTCTGCAGGCTGCCGCCGTGTTTGGCACTATAGGTCAACCGATTGGGATGGGATGCGGTCTTTCTTTGCATCCTACCCTTGGAGGCGGGTTTGCTTCTCGCTGGACGATCCCAACGTTGTTGCGGATTCTGTCGCTGATGTGGTACTTCAGGGTATGGAACTTTTTATTCCTTCCTCTGTGGTGCCCATTGAAGGCAAATCTCAGCCATGGTTTGGTCGCTCCTATAAAATAGCATCACGCTATAAGCAGGAGTGCTACCGAGCCTGGGCTGACGCATCAGCATCCCGGGATGTAAACACCAGCGCTATAAAAAAGAAGTATAATTCCGCCTCTAAGTCCTTCAAAAGAGTCATTGCCAAGGCAACGTCAGAGCACATAGGCAGAATTGGCGAGAAACTATTTCGCCTTCCTTCTGGAACCCGTGCATTCTGGTCTCTCGCCAAGGCTGTGCAGGGGAATTTCTGTCAGCCATCTCTTCCATCTCTGCACAGGGAGGACGACTCACTGGCCCATACCGCAAAGGAGAAAGCCGATCTTCTAGGCTCTTTCTTTGCGTCCAACTCGACTCTCGATGACGGGGGGAGTACGCCGCCGACCTTGGATTTGGATGCTGGAAGTGCAGTTCACACAGCGCTCGGTTCACAAAGCACTCCTCTCCTTGGACATCCACAAGTCGAGTGGGCCTGACGGAATCCCCCCAATTGTGCTGAGGACGTGTGCTCCAGAGTTGGCACCGGTTTTAACGCGTCTTTTCCGGTACTCCTACTCCCTAGGTGTAGTCCCAAAATCATGGAAGACGGCTTTCGTCCACCCGATCTCCCTAAAAAAGGCGACCGCTTAGACCCGTCTAACTACCGGCCTATTGCCATCACCTCCTTGTTCTCCAAAACAATGGAGTCCATTGTAAACTGCCAGCTCGTGAGGTACCTTGATGATCACCAGCTGATTAGTGACCGCCAATACGGTGGTCGGTCAGCTGGTGATCTTCTGGTCTACCTAACTCACAGATGGGCGGAGGCAGTAGAGTCCACGGGGGAGGCATTGGCCGTTAGTTTGGACATTACGAAGGCCTTTCAGGTTTGGCACAAAGCGCTTCTTTCGAAGCTCCCTTCCTATGGGCTTCCCGAGAAATTGTGCGATTGGATCACCAGCTTTCTTGCAGATCGGAGCATCAAGGTCGTTGTAGACGGTGCAAGCTCCGATTGCAAGCCTATTAATGCTGGTGTTCCACAAGGCTGCGTGCTATCGCCAACGCTGTTTCTTCTGCATATCAATGATATGTTGCAAACCCGTAACATTCATTGCTGTGCAGATGACAGCACTGGTGCTCTTTACACCGGCCGAGACAATATTTCTCGGGAAAACGTCTCCGAGTGCCGGGACAAACTTGTGTTTGTAGTCGAGTCTTTGCTGAACAGAGTCTTGGATTGGGGGCGACTAAATCTAGTCCAGTTTAACCCCCAGAAGACACAAGTTTGCGCGTTAACCGCCAAAAAGAACCCCTTTGTCGTATCTCCTCAGTTTCAAGGCACTCCCCTTGTTGCCTCAGCCAGTATCGGAATCCTCGGCGTTGACATATCGATTGACGTGCAGTTTCGTGGTCACTTGGAAGAGAAGGCCATATTGGCCTCTAAAAAGCTTTTTAGAGGAAAAGCTTTTTATAAAGGGACAGTATTTCGTGCCGGCACACCGCCTGCAACTTTACAAGGCGCAGGTTCGGCCGCACATGGAATACTGTTCCCATCTCTGGGCTGGGGCTCCCCAGTACCAGCTCCTTCCATTTTACCGCATCCAGCGCAGAGCGGATCGAATCGTCGAAGACCGAGTGCTTTCCGATCGGCTCGATTCATTTATATATTCTGGCACTGCGAAGAGATGTTGCATCTCTTTGCATTTTATTTCGCATATACCATGGAGAGTGCTCTGAGTAATTGTTCGGATTAATCCCAGCCGCCAAATTTCGTGAACGCACTACGCGGCAAACGTCCCGATACCATCCACATCATCTGTATGCTTGGCGGTCCACCACAGTACGTTTCAAAAGGAGTTTTCTTATGCGTACAACCTCTCTGTGGAATAGTTTACCAACGGCGATTTTTCCGGACCGATACGACCTGGGAACCTTCAAGAAATGAGCTTACTCCTTTCTAAAGGGCCGGCAACGCTCCTGCAATTCCCCTGGTGTTGCGGTTGCTTATGGGCGGTGGTAGTCACTTAACATCAGGTGAGCCGCATGCTCGTTTGCCCCCCTCTTCTATAAAAAAAAATTAAAAAAATCACTACGTACTAAAGCATAGCCCGCCTGTCCTTGTAAATTGTAGAATTTATAGCGGCGCTGACATCGGTGAGTAGTGACTGCGAAGTTAGCTGTTTATGAGTACAAGTAGATGAAGTTAGTTGAATAATGTACAAATTTTCTTTGCGGCATTGGTGAGAAAATTTTCATGCTCCGTAATTTTGTAATTTTTGATAAAAAGAAACATTAAAAAATGGAGAAATATTGTCATATAATTATTGTGCGTGGATGTGCAAGTGGTTTAGCATCTGATCGGAAAAATAGACTGAAAATGACTTTTATTGAGCGAACTTAGCGATCGCAGCGCCTCACTAATGGTGTCCATATTTCTGGGATACTATTTTCTACGGCGTTCGTTCTCCTGTTCTCTAACCTCCATGTTTTATGCCATTGAAGTTAGAAAACTTTTATGCTGTGCCGACCCAGTTTCAGCATAGAATGCAGAGTTTCAGTTTATACAGAGAACAGATCACTATATACTAGTCTACGAATACAAAGGTACTCTGTGGTGCCCAGCTGCGCCAAATCGTAGACTAGTATATACTATATATAGTTATAGGCATAGATGAAAGTAATATATCGTACAGTTATAGGGTATGTTCCGAAATACAACGCAGTGTACTGTTCAATGCAAATGACGTCATAAATCGACGCTATACTGGTGATTCGTTCCAAAACATTGGACAGTATATGACGTCATACTTTTGCGCCATTTGGAAAAGTGTTGGCGATTATTTTGTCATTTTGTGCTCCAAAAATCATTATATCCTGCTAATGGATATACCATCAATTATTCTATAATTTTTTTGTATTTGAATAAATAGAAACAAATTCTGGCATGCTTCGTTCGGCAAACACACAGTTAAAAATTATTTTATTATGGCCGGATATCCGACACAATATGGCGGCGGCACACTAGTACAATAAAATGTCAAATGATGACGTCATTTGCATTGGACAATACACTGCGTTGTATTTCGGAACATAGTAGTCTGTGAACATACCACAGAGTACCTTTGTATAAACTAAAAACAAAACTACCCAAATTGATCGTGCCAAAACTGATAAATTTTGTCAAAATCAAAAATTTGTTTGTTTGTTATAATTTATTGTTTGGAGAGTCGTAATTATTATTTAATAGCGTTTTGCTAACAATAATGCACTTTTCTTAAATTGAGGTGCATTTTATCAACAATGATATTTGATTTATTATCTATTTTGGAATAAGTATATCAAACTTCATCTGTATTAAATAAAATAAGAGAAAATGACGAGTGATCGTGAACGTAGTCGACACTGCAGCGTAGAGAGACATCGAAATCATAGCCGTGATAGGTATCGTAGCGGCAGTCGTGGTAAGGGTCGTAGTCGAAGCCGAGATTATCGACGTAGTCGTAGCCGTGATAATCATCGTAGTCGAAGCCGTGATAAACATCGTAGTCGAAGCCGTGACAAATATCGTAGTCGAAGCCGTGAGAAACATCGTAGTCGAAGCCGTGATAAACATCGTAGTCAAAGCCGTGATAAACATCGTAGTCGAAGCCGTGATAGTCATAGTCGAAGACATGATAAAGTGATGCGAAAACCCAGTAGTGACCGTCACAGGAATCGAAGCAAGGACCGGTGTACCGAAAGCAACATAACCAGGCGCAAAGAGGACAGTAGAGAAAAAGAAACAAATAACACTGACAGAGAAAGATCACATACACAGAATCACAATCGTGAACGAGGTCGTAGCTCTTACAGAGACTTCCATGGTGGTTTTGGTGGACTCGGTGGAGGTATGTATGAATATCATTTTTCTCCACATTATAAATTATGTCTAAAGTATGATAAATAACTTCATTAAAAACCTGTTTGTCAAACTACATTTCCATTAATCAGACTTAATTTTTATAAAACTGAAGTGCGAAACAAACTAATTGTCAACCTGATGGTAAGTGGCTACTGTAGTACTGCAGCCAACTTAAAAGAAGGAAGGCTACAAAATGTGTTGACACCTCCGACTTCTAAGGTGTAATACCTTGTAGCCTGTAATTATACTCCTTATTTAAAAAACAATATTCCCCACACTGGAATATTGTTCTGTATCATAGAGGCAGCATACTTACATAAATTTTGTGAAGACAAACATCCAGACCGGGAACAATTATTTGTAGGCCATACAACTCATTAGTAAGCCACTGCGCCACGAAGCGGTCATACTGATACATTTTTTATGGAATATACATGACAAATAAGCACACGGTCCACCTGATGATGAGTGGTTTCTGTAGACCATAAACATCTACATTTATCCTCAATTAGGAATTAAAATGCAGATTTGTTGTAACCCCTGTAGACTAAGATGGATGGTTTTACGCAGGTATTTTGTGCAAGTGTGGTCCTACCTTGATTGAACCGACCCATTGGTGTAACAACCATAATAGTATAGCTGCAGCATGGCTCTACCAAAACATACTCTCTATACCCTTTTGTATGTGTTACCAAGCTGCAGCTATATTATGGTTGTAGCACGAAAGGGTCGGCTCGACCAAGGAAGAACCAGAGACCCATTACTGGAATCGAGGCATTCCATTTTAGTCCTCAGGGGTGACAATATATCTGCATTTTGATTCTTAATCGAGATTAAATTTAGATGTATATGGGCTACAGCATCCACTTACCATCAGGTGGACTGTCTGCTTTTTTGTCACACTAATTCTAAAAAAAAATACCCTTCAGATTAAATCATAGTAATGCAAGCACTGCTGACTGATGGTAGAAATGGGTATGAGAGTGGTACGTACCCATATACCACTATACCTACGGACGAAAGGGAGTCCTACCTTCTTGACTTGCCTTAATATAATCCTTAAAATGCCTTAATAATTAGGTAAATGCTCCCAAAATATTTAAAAGTTGTCGGGATTGGTCAGGAAGATATTATTTTGAACTGAATATGAAGTCTAGATAACTCTTAATAAAATATAGCAAGTTACCCAAATATTTTGTCTAGTCAATATAATTTTCTTATTTTATAGGTCTAGGCAGTGGTGGACCTGGACCAAAAGGCAGGTACAAACCACAAGAGGAGGAGTTCTTAGATGCAAGACGGGAGGAAAGAGAGAGAATAGGACAAATTGGAGTTTCCTCAGTTTGGGGAAAATCACCTTTAAGACCTGAGTAAGCTAGTTATATTTATGTCATCCATAATTAATCTAAATAAAAGACAAAGCTAACTGCTTAAACTTATGCTTAGTGAAATTAGAATTGCGGTTCTATGTATGAATCTCGGTGCCCATTCACTGTGCTACATGCAAATGATAATGCTTTAATTTTGTCAATTCACCTTAAATTAAAAATGCCTGAGGGTCCTTATGCTAACTTGATTACAAGACAAAAATACATTGCATGCAGTGGAAACTTATCTTGCTAAGAATAAGTTATCACCATCGTTCAGTCGGCCATTGAAGCTATCATTAATGAAAATTGGGGATGAATGTGCATCATACTATCAAATTTATTCCATCATATTTATAGCTGCAGCATGGCTCTAGCCATATTATGGTATGCTGCTATATTACAGTTATGGCACAAATGGGTTGGTTCGACTGGGGAAGGACCATGCTCTCACAGAGTACCAACGTAAAATAGCAGCTTAATATTGCTGTGTTTAGTATGGTGAGTGTAGAAATCTGGAGACCCTTTTTTTACTGGAACCAAGGCATTCCATCTTAGTTCTCAGGGGCTGACAACACATCTCCGTTTCGATTATTAATCGAGGATAAGTGTAGATGTCTATGGGCTACAGCTCCACTTACCATCACGTGGACTGTGTACTCGTTTGTCACCCTTATTCTATAAAAAAATCACTTCAGTAGTTGATATTTCTTGAAAAATTTTGTAATAGACGACAATTCTTTTTTTTTAATATATGATTATAATAATGTTATACGAGGTGTGTTCAAAAAGTAAGGTGACTTTATATTTTTATGAAAAACTATTTATTTATTCATCAATATTTATGTTGTCCCCTTCAAAGTAATCCCCCTCAGATATAATACACTTGTGCCAACGCTTTTTCCAATCGTCAAAGCATTTCTGATAATCACTTTCTGGTATAGCCTTCAGCTCTTTCAGCGATGCAGTTTTTATCTCTTCAATCGTTGCAAATCTTCGTCCTTTCATAGGTCTCTTCAGTTTTGGGAACAGGAAAAAGTCACATGGGGCCAAATCCGGTGAATATGGTGGCTGAGGCATGATTGTAGTGTTGTTTTTGGTCAAAAAACCTCTCACAAGCAAAAAGCGAAATTGAGCAATTTTGGAACAAATTTCGCTGACACACGTTTCATGCCCAAAATATCCGAAAAAATTTCATGGCAAGAGCCAACCGATATGCCAACATCCTCCGCAACTTCTCTGATAGTGATTCGACGATTTTCCAAAACAATTTTCTTCACTATTTCAACGTTTTCATCGGTTGTTGACGTGCTGGGGCGTCCAGAGCGAGGTTCGTCATTGGCATCTTCTCGGCCATCTTGAAAGAGCTTGTACCACTTATAAACGTTTTTTTTTACTAAGAGTAGACTCACCGTATGCCACTGTCAACATTTCAAGTGTTTTGGAGCACGTAATTCCATTTTTTACACAAAATTTGATGCAAATTCTTTGATCCATTTTTTTTGATAGAAGAAAATCGCCGAGGACACCAAAGTACGTCTGACCTTTGTAACTGTCAAAAATAAACTAAACATGCTATACACTTCAAACTTGAAACATATGCTCAGGACATGTGTACCAACGCAACAAAATACAAAAATCGAAAATCGAATGTGCGTTGCCCGCGAAATTCAAAAAGTCACCTTACTTTTTGAACACACCTCGTATAAATTCTACCCTAATAAATGTTAACAGACTTCATACTGTTATATTTATGTTACTCACATGCAGATTCTTCATGATGTTTTCTTTCACCACCAAGCCTGAGATAAATTAGCACTTAATATTGCAATTAAGAGGATATCCAGTTAGTGTTTAGTTTATACAAACATGAAATTCTCTCAGAATAATGACACTAGAGCAAATATTTTTTTTAATATTGCAACTATCTTGTATGCACTGCTATGTTCCTGTGTGTAGGAACCTTCTAAAAATTACTAAAATAACTGAAAATAGTTATGTCACTATTATCAGACATCCAGCAAACAAATTTTACAAACATAAAAAGTAAACACAGTCACAATCCTCCTTCAATTGTTCCTGAACTTTTTTAAATATTTATTTAGTTTTGGAGGAGGAAACAAGAAAATACAAGATAGTAATTTTGTCAGTTTTTCATAGAATAGAATGATTTTTATTCAATATCTATTATTACAATTTTACCACCGGTTTGAAAAATACCTCTGTCCTGGAAAGAACCACCAAGAAACTCAGCATAAGAAGGTATTTGTCTCTTTTGACAACCAAACTTTAACTTGGTTGTGTGCACAAATAAACAGCAATAAATCTGACAAAAACCTATGCTTCAAATACAACCTGGAGAGAGCCTACCAAAGCTCAGAGGTTAAGCACTCCCGGTAAATCTATAATAATAATAATAATAATAAGCTTTATTGATAATTATACAGTGAATATATGAAGTCTCTGATTGCTGAACTAGGAATTATACCTGTATCTCAGCAATCAGCGCCCTCTCCCAATTTTATGACCTAATAAATTAACAATAAAGGTTCAAAATAACAAGAATGTTTCAAAAGGTATAAAAATTATTTACTACTTAATTTACGTACTATCTGTGTGTTGAGTGTGTTAGGGTTCATGTGTACGTGTGTGTGTGTGTGTGTGTATGTGTGTGTGTGTGTGTGTGTGTGTGTGTGTGTGTGTGTGTGTGTGTGTGTGTGTGTGTGTGTATGTGTGGGTGTGTACATGTGCGTGTGCGTGTGTGTGTCAGCAAGCGTATTTTTGCGTTTGTGTATGCATGTGTTTTATATGTACTTATAAATAAAATGAAAAATAACGGGATTCATCAAGCGGATTACATTATAACATTAAACAAGTCCTCCGTTTCTTCATAATTTAATGATAAAAGCCATTTTTCTACCTTCTTTTTAAATTTGTAAAGTGGAAGTGGATAAAAGTCAAGAATTTTGTTTATTTTGTTATACAAATGTACACTAAGATAACCATGTTGGCGCCTGGCAAAGGACGTGCGGAAAGCGGTTGGAGTCAAGACATTAACTATTGTACGTTTTCCTTTTATTTTGTCTTTGTCGTATGCAGTAGCAAGATGTTGTCTGCTTATAAGTTGTAAAATGTATAACTGCCGAACAGTAAGAACTTGACAATCACTATAGAGTGTTCTAGTTGGGAATCTAAACGTCTTAAAAGTCATCGTTTTAAGCAACGACCTTTGGGCTCTTTCAAGTCGCAAAATGTGGGTTTTGTATGCACCACCCCAAACTCTAATACAATAGTTTATTACTGACTGAGCAAGCGCGTAATATACTACGCGAAGTGTATCAAAATCAGCCACATACCTTAGATGTTTAAACGCCCAAATTAGCTTCCTTACTCTAGAGGTTTGTAGATCTATATGACTAAGCCAGTTTATTTTACAATCTAAAATAACGCCTAGGTATTTGACATTATCAGATTTATGGAGCATATGGCATGAACATTGTCGATCTTTCAGTAATTTACAGCAATGTAGCTTGATTGATATATTTTCAGTGTGGTTTTCCTTGATATTAAACTGGATAAAAGTTGTTTTTGACAGGTTTAGAGTAAGTAAATTCAATCTTAGCCAGCAGTTTACCTTGTGTATTCCAACTTCTGCATTTTTACAAGCCTCATCCCAAGTCTCTCCATAAAATACCAGCGCCGTATCATCAGCGTACGTAAATATTTGTCCATTATATAATGGCTGTTGGCAAAGATCATTAATGTAAACCAAGAAGAGACTTGGGCCAAGTATGCTTCCTTGTGGAACACCATATGTAACTGCGTCATAAGAACTTACTATTCGATCGATCTTAACACACTGCACACGATCACAAAGAAAGTCCTTAAAAATGGAATGCGCTACACCACGAATTCCTACTCTCTCTAGTTTGTCAAGGAGAGAGGGAATCGAAACAGTGTCAAATGCCTTGGCTAGATCTAGAAAAACACCAATACATTTTTGCTTATTATCTAGCTTAGTGGTAACGTAATCAACCAAGTCACTAACAGCATTTTCTGTACTTTTTCCCGACCTGAAACCATATTGATGACGTGACAGAATATTATTCTTTTCTAAAAAATTCATCAACCGAGTATTTAAAACTTTTTCCAAAATTTTTGAGAGAGCAGGCAATACAGATATAGGCCGGTAATTATTTATATTATCTTTTGAACCACTCTTGTGTACTGGAGTTATAATGGATTTTTTAAAAACTTTTGGAAATATACCCTGATCTAGACAGATATTAAATAATTTAGTTAAAGGCGGAACAAGAATATCTCTAGCAAGCTTTAAAAGTTTGCTAGAGATAGAGTCCCAGCCTACAGCGCAGTCATTTTTAAGGTTGATAATAATAGACTCTATTTCCGCTTCGTCGGGTGGAATGAGAACGCAAGAATTGACAACACAAGGTAAATTGAAGTTGTACCGATAGTTTTCGGTTTTGTCTTGACTTATTTTGTTTGCCAAATTTTTACCAACGTTTGAGAAAAAATCATTTATACTCTCAATTGTACAAGACTTATTATCTATATTATTCAGCAACTCTTTTGCTGGTGCATTAATAGTATTTTGATTTGTAATAATTTTAATAGCTTTCCATTTTTGTTTATTATCTTTTGCCTTTTTAAGAAGAGATCTTTCATATTCAAATTTAAGCCTTCTTAGGAGAGAATTACAAAAACTTCTATATCGCTTATACGAAACTACCAAAATGTTATTATCGGGGTCCTTTTTAAGGTTTTTATGCAATTTATCTCTATGGCGAATGCACCGTAGAACTCCGGGTGTAACCCATGGCTTAAGAATTCTTTGCCGCCTAGTAATCACTTTTTCTTGAGTACAAAATTTTACTATCGAAGATATTTTTTCAACTAATTGTGAGGCAGCGTTATCTGCATTGCAGTTGGTGTTTATAAAAGAAAAGTCAATTGTAGACAGATTTTTAATAACTTCATTGTAATCAATTTTTGTATTATAGCATACTTTATGAGTATAGTCGTTATTAAAAGAAAGGTTTAGAAGCACAGAACTATGGTCAGTAACAGTTGAATTCAGAACAACTACTGTGGCAGGCAAATAGGTTTTAATCATGACATGATCCAAACAATTATTGACTCTCGTTGGATAAGTATGTCCTGGTAGAAGACCTAGTTCTGCCATAAGATTTAAATAAGATGAGCTATTTTTATCGGCATTGTTAGGTTTAATGTCAATGTTGACATCACCTAAAAGATATATATTTTTTGCCTTAATGGGTTGAAGAACATGTTCAACTGTGTTTAAAAAGCTGTCAATACTATAAAACGATGGCGATCTGTATGTGGCTAATATTGCAATATTTGGTTCCGTCTTTAGCAAAAGGAAGTTACCACCAATCGAATCTGGCTCCTCCACAATACAATCTATTCCAGATTTTACATAAATAATTATACCGTCATTTTGGTTTAAGGTTTTTTTAGAAAAATAACACGTGTAATTATCAATAAGTGGAGGAGGTTTGTGACTACTTAACCAGCATTCCGTTAGAATTAGAATATCACATTCAAAAGTAAATCTTTCCAATTGTGCTATTAACCCATCTATGTTTTTATAAACGCTTCGTATATTCTGAGTTAAAACATTTATAGATTTAGAAAAACTGACATTCTGAATAATATTATTACAGTGTTCTGTGCTACAGTTGTATGATTTTGCCACAGAGATGTTATCAATATCGATTGTTAAATTTTCTACGTTGATAGCCATCTTTTTATATAAGTTATTTGGTTTTGCTTAATAAAAAAAAATATTTCTGCAACAGTTGTTGCATCCTAATCTGGCTCTGAACATAGAGAATAATGTGATTAATATGGACTCCGATAAGTTCTATGACTTTTTTTGTAATTTAGAAGGCATAGAAGGCATGATAAATTGTACCTATTAAATAAATTAAAACTATTAACAAAATATATGTTTAAAATTAAATTAATGAATTTATTCTTAATTATTTCCGTATACGGCACGAAATAGAAGAAAAAAGAAAGCAATAATGTTAACAAAATATCAAATTTTGTTTTATACAACATAGCATTCTTACGGTAATTCCGTGAGGATTTTTTTGTTAAAAAAATAATTTTTGTAGTGTAAAAATATGTATGAAGTGTTATAGTGTATTTGTGTAATGTAAACCGCAAGTACTATGATAAAGTAACATAAAGGAAATATTAAATAACAGTAAAATTTTAAATAAATAATAGAAATAAATGATAATTCTAGTCATTGAGTCTTCCTTAAATTTTCGAGATCGGCTTCACTGTTAATTCGTATCTGGCTGGATTTTTCATCTTTGCGTAGGTAAACAGTTCCGTTCAGAGTCCAGCAGTACATAAAACTGTGTGCCTTTTTGAATGCTCTTGCGAGTTGAAATATTTTTTGAGTCTTTTGAGTTAAAGTTTCTGATATAAACACTGGTTTCTTTGGTTGTTGCAGTTGTAGGTGAGAAGTATTTAATTTCTCGTCTCTCGGTTTGTTTTTATTAAAACTTTTTACCGCTCTAAGTATTTTTTCCTTGCTGATAACGGAGCTTAGTTCCACTATAATCGGACCAGAACTGTCCTTGGAGTTCAATCTATATATATCTTTCAATTCGGAGTCTTCTATACTAATATTAACGGCCTTTCCGGTCTTTTTAATAATGTTAAACAAAAAATCTTTTGTTTCACCCGTTGATTTAGGAATATTTCGTACTTCAATCCCCGATGCACGCATTTTACGCTCCATAGTTTCCAATCTATCCTCCATTAAAGCCATGCGCCGTTTGTCCTCTTTCCTTTCTTTTTCCAAATTAGCAATTATTGTAAGTAAATCGTCATATTTGTTAGACATATGCTCCACACTTCGTTTTAACTCATAATTTTGCTCTTTGAGGTCTACAATTGTACTTTGTAAATTATAAAAACGCGTTTCCTGTTCCTTAGAGAAATTGGTAAACATATCTTTTATCAAGGACGTGATGCTGTCATCTCCTCCAGGGTGCTTTCGTTTTTTCCTCTCACTGACAGTCGTCCTAAGAGTAGTTAAATCAGGCGCAGAATCGCTGTGATGCATAGAACTGATTTCTTTTGTTGTTAGAGTGTTAGCACTGTACTCTGCACTACTGAACGTGGGCGCTACTGGTGTGGTGAGTGGCGAGGGAGGGGGTGTACGCTTCAACGGCATTGTGATTGTGTTCAAATGAATGTAACATAGATTAGACGTAGAACGGTTTGTTAACACAACTTCCTCAGCAAACTGTGCTCCTAATATTTCAAGTTTATTTGTTTAGTTATAAAATAGCAAAATTTTTATGCATTACGTACACTTAACACGTCCATTTACTTTGGAGGTCCGGGAGAAGGAATCTCATTCAAGTTTCCCCCAAAATCAAGCATCAATTTAGTTATTAATTTCAGTTTTACTTGCTGATTTACCACTCGCTTGAGGTGATGTAAAACATAAATGTAAGGAAATCTGCAAGCAATTTGATAAAAATATTTCAAAGACTTCGAACTTCGTGAAGTTCACACCAACATGCATTGATACAGTGTGGTGGACATTTCATCATCTCAACTTATGAAATTTAAGTTGAACACTTAACCCTTAGGCCTACTTTCTACCTACTTAGGCCTTTAAAGTATTAAATAAATAAATAAATAAATTTACTCACAAGAAATATGGTACAAAGATGTTCTTATAAAATAATAATGTATCACATATTTCACCAATTTTGGTATATGAAAACTTATTTCCTAATCAACTTATGGTTAGAATATACAAAATTCAAGTAAAATTAAACGTGCATCACTTTACAATTTTAATATTTATCCTTTAAAACGCAATCAAATAAGAAACAGTGTTTACCAGTCAATAGAAACATTCTTTTATTTTTAGCAGTTCATTTACCGAATAAAATTGTTTTTCTAAAAGCCACTTTAATATATTACATCTAAATCGATTATAATCTAGTTGCCTTATTTCATTTGGGGTTTTATTAAACACTTGAATAGCCATCACATAGCAATTTTTTGAGTACAGGCTAGTTTTTAATAAAGGTAAAATAATTTTATCTGGGTATCTGGTTCTATATGTTACTGTATCTTTTAACCTAGTAAAAAAATGAGGATACTTTTTTACGAATATTGAAAGTTCAAAAATGTACATGGATGGTAGCGTAATAACACCCAATTCTTTAAATAGTGGCTTGCAAGAAACTAGTGGCCCGACACCACAAGTTTTTGCGCTATAAAAGCACGGTTTACATCAGTCGAGTTTCCCCATAATATGAGACCATATCTTAATACAGCAGCGACATATGCATGATATGCTATAAGGGAAGTGTTTCTTGACGAGATTGAAGTTAGCCTTCGCAGAGCAAAATTAAATTTAAATATTTTAGAACAAACTTTATCTATGTGATTTTTCCAATTACAATGTTTGTCTAAACTAATACCTAAAAATGTGGTACATTCAGTAGCAGTAATTTTTTCACCATTATACTTAATATCAAGTAATTGCGGCTTACTTTTAGAATTGTAGATTTTAACATTGTAGAATTGCATAAATTTAGTTTTAGATAGATTTATACTTAGATTATTGTTTTTTATCCATATAACAACATTTATAATAGTATTATTTATTTCATTTTCATATTCTTTATTACTAGAATTAAAATTTAATTTCGGTATTAAAATAGAAATGTCGTCAGCAAATAATATTGTATTACGTTTGATGTAATTTGGTAGGTCATTTATGTAAATTAAGAACAGTAAAGGACCTAAAACACTCCCTTGTGGCATTCCGTAATCATTTGGTAAGTACGAAGATTTAAATTTTAAAATTTCTTGCCATTTTTTATATTTTTGTTGTATTTCAACACATTGTTTTCTATCTTTTAGATAGCTATGTATCCAGGAGTAAGCTGGCCCTCTTATACCATAAGCTTCAATTTTTTTTAAGAGAATATCATGACCAACACTATCAAATGCTTTGCTCATATCAAAGTACACTGCAGAAATTGGTATTTTTCTGTTTATATAATCGGTTACGATATTTATATGGAAAAAAGTTGCCAGTGTCGTAGATTTACCTTTTTAAAAACCGTGTTGCTCTGGTTTTAATATGTTAAACTTATTAAAAAAATCTAAGTCTTTTTCGCATAACTTTCTCATACAATTTTGATAATATTGATATTAATGTAATGGTCTATAGTTATTAATATTATTTCTGTCACCTTTTTTATGCAATGGTATAACAACGGATAATTTCAATTCTTTATGAAAAATTCCCGCTTCAAGTGACTTATTAATGAGAAAACATAATACATCTATGATATTTCCTGGACACCTCTTTAAAACTTTTGTTTGTATTTCATCACAGCCAGTAGATTTTGTGTTTTTAAGTGATGAAATATGGTTCTTAATTTCCGTTATATCACATGGTCTTAAATAAATACTAGATTGATTTCTTAGACTTGTTACGCTTAATTTTTCCACACACATAATAGTTTATGTGATATTCTGTCTTTAATAGAAAAGATGAAATGCTGAATAAATGTTGTAGCTAGTTCAATGGAAATTAGTATATTTTGATTATTGACTGTGAGTCTATCAATGAGATTTGGGTGTGTCTGACTATTATCTTTTATTAGGTTCCAAGTGGCTTTAGTTTTATTTTTTGAGTTAAGTACGTATTTGTGATTCATCTGCTTTTGTGCCAGTAAAATAGTTTTTTTTAGTATATTTCTATAAAGTGTATATTTATTTTTGTTCTCGTGAGTTTTATTTTTATAATAATTATAGCGAAGTGCATGTTTGGTTCTACAGGAAATTTTTATACCGGTTGTAAGCCATTTTAATTTTTGATCAAAATTATTTACTTTGACTATTTATGGAAAAGCACAGCTAATAAATTAGTACAAATGTGTCATAAAATTTAGTAAATGCTTTTTCTACGTTATCCTCCTCATATACGTCCAAGAATGATAATGATTTTAAGTGATTGCAGAAACTGCTAATATTACTTTTCGTGTATTGCCTTCTAAATATATAATAATGCCCTGAAGACTTTGTTGTATCTTTTAATAAAAAACTTAATGTTTACCCCGTGTGATCTGATAGGCCTAATTCATGGACTTTTCCGATAGCTCCTTGTATATTACTTGCCATTTTTGATCTATACATGTATGTTGTCTTGTTGTTTCCGTTATATGCATTTGAAATCCATAGCTTTTTAATATACTTCTTAATCTATTAGATTTATTATTCAACATTAACATGTTTACGTTAAAATCTCTAGCAATTATAATTTTTTTGTTTATTTTTTTCACGTAGCTTATGTAATAAAGCATCAAGTTTAGTAAAAAATATACTTATTTCCGAGTTTGGTGTTCTATAAATACAAACATTTTTGTTCAGTCAATTCTATACCACAACATTCAAACTCAATTTCCTTTGAAAACGGTTGTAAAAAATCTAAGATACGATACTTGAAATTTTGTTTTACAAGAATACACACAACACCACGTTTTGATTGTTTTCTTGAGAAATTGGCAGCCAGTTTAAAGTTTTTAAAAATTACGTTTTCCTCATCTCCATTTTTTACGAATATATCTGTTAGACAAATCACGTCTATTTGTTCTTCAGAGTAATTAAATTCTGCGATGCATGCCTTAAGTAAGTCTAATTTTCCTAGTAATCCTGCTATGTTTTGGTGAAATACTCGCAGATAGGAATTTCCTATTTTTTTGTATTTTATCATTTATTAAAATACTGTTTCTACAGATGTCTAATGCCTTAATTTCGAAATAAACTATTTTTTTCTATGATTGGAAAATAAAATGGGATAGTTCCTTTTTTGAACTTTATAGGTTCCTTAATGTCACTCACACTCTCTATTCTATCCAATTTAACCCAAGATTTTTTATTTAAAATATGTTTTGTTTTGTTTTTTATATTTGCGAAATAGTAAGGAATTGTAGCTTTCTTATGTACTTTATTAATTAATTCAGAACATTTAATTACTGTTGAACGCTGTTTGATAATATTTTTTAGTTGGGAATAATCTAAAAATTGTTGATCATAATCTATACAATCAATTATATAATTAATTTTTTTACAAGTGTTGAATAGATTTTTATAATAGGAATTTTCTTTTATAAAATAACAGTTTTTATATTGACTACATACTTTTATAATATTTGAATTTATCATCCCCGTATTTATCTACTATTTAAAATATTTAAAATAATTACAGTATGTTTTCTTAGTTGTTTTAATGTTATATATAATTCTGATGAAACAGCTAGAGGATTTTTATCGTTTTCACCAACAAAAATAATAATTTTGTCTGACAAACCATAGTCTTGATTGAGAACACAACTTTTTAATACATTTTCAGTTAACACATCAGGTTTTGTATAACCGATTATATCATATTCCTTATATTTACTATGTTCTCTCGAACGAAGCAACAACACATTGTTGCGTTCCAAATATAAATATTTTTCTTTTTTCAATATTGCAGTTTGTTTCACGCAGATGCTGAATATCTTCCTCCAACTTGTTTTCTAGTTCTACGTTTTTGTTTTTAGACAATAAAAGGTTATTTTTGTCATCTATCCTGGCGTCTTTTATTGCCGCCGTTGGCGTTGCTAAATCCAATTTATTAGATGTTTGCGTTTCTAAATCCAATTTATTAGGTGTTTGTGTTACTAAATCTAAATTATTAGGTGTTTGGAGTAATGCGTCGTTTTTCTGTAGTTTTATTTTTTAGGACTGTTTGATGAACATATCATAAGTAATCTTTTTGTTTTTGCTGCTAATTTGTCAACCTCTTTTTGTAGTTCCTGTTTCTCAAGAATAAGCTTTTCTATTTCCATATGCGCACTGTCTAGTTCTAGCTGTAGTTCGGAGTTTCTTTGTTTTAACTCAATGGATTCATCATTTACTAATGTCGATAGATCGGGTAAGATTTTTATTATGTTTGAATCTTCGGATGATAAGGAAGTTTCAGGGTCCGAGTAAGTTTCTATATGTGTGCAATTTTTCACTCTGTTTTGGAATTTATTGGTGGTTAATAGTTGATTACATAAGTTTTCAGTTTTATTTTTACTTTTATGCAGCATTTTATTGTTTTTTCACACTATGAGAAATATCAGCATTGGGTGAACATATTTTTTTAGTATGTATGCATTGATCACATTTCCATTTGGATTTTTTTTTCAATATTCATAGCATTAAATATTCTAATTGACATGTTTATGCAATTTAAGTCATATTTTTCATTACAAATAAAACATTTTAGGATCTCTTTAGAAGTGATCACTTTCTTCAAAAATGGAATTTGGAAATATAACGTACAGAAAACCACAACGCTCTAGTTCGTTACAAGATATGTCAGATCTCAATTCCTCTTCTACACTGTTTGACGCAACCGTGGCAAGCTTACCGAATGCATCTCTATATGAAAGTCAAAATAATATTGATTTAAATGAAAAAATAAATAAACTGTCGAGTGACTTATTAATTGCTCATCAAGAAATAGATAATCTCAATAGTGAAAATACTAGTTTAAAGTTAGAAATTGAAAAATACCAAAAAATAATTAAAACATTTAAAAAAAATTACTACATATTCCTCATGTAATACGACACCTGCATCAGTGAACAAGAGACGACAAACTTTGCAGATACCAGAACAAAATCTACTGTGTACACCTATAAACAGAATAGAAATGTCAGAGTGCAGTATTAACGAAATCAAAGACAAAGAACAAGAATTAGTCAATAACATAGAAAAAACAGATAGCTCAAATCATCTGCCTAACACATCATGTCACATTCATCTGGAGAAAGAAGATATTCACAAAGAACACACGGAAGTAATTGCAACAGACACAAATACTAATACATCTCTTAATACTCCAAAAACTCAACTAGGAAACACTTTGCCATATTATATAAGAGAAAAAAATGACAATTACAAATTAGTTACATTTAAGATGCGAAGGAAAATAATTGTTATTGCTGACCAACAAGGGCGAAATATTTGCAAAACTCTTCAAAAATTAATTGGCGATAATTTTCTTGTAACTTGTTATTGGAAACCAGGAGCTAAAATACAGGAAGTCTTACAAACAGAAAAGAACGAAATATGTAAACTTACAAAAAATGATTATGTTGTTGTTCTTGGCGGCGTGAATGAGAATAATCCATATGAATTTGAATTTTGTATCAGGAGCTGGCTTTATAGTGTAACAAATACTAATGTAATATTTACAGAAATACCATATAATAGAAATTTAAACATCGGCAAACTTAACTATGTATTAAGATTTATATGTACAAGCTTTACTAATGTTTCGTTTATAAATACAAATGGTTCGAAGTCTTTCTTTCATCAATATACTTTTACTCTATATATACCATGTCGTTTTCTGCTACGTGAAATTCTACGCCTCGACTACAAATTAAAATTTGAGCTTTACCAAAATATAGTAATTTCCTCAAAATTTACTCCACTTCAGACTACTAGTACACAAACTGACAATATTGAAATGGTAGACACATGTACACAAAGTGACGATATATTGAAAGACAATATCATAGAGGAAATCACTCCCAGGCATGAAAATATGACGCATTCTGGTAAAAATCTTTTTCGTATATAAAAAACTATATATATTACATCAAAATATTAATGGATTAATTGCTAAATCTGATCTCCTAACGGTTAATTTAAATAACCTCGAATTAGATGGGTACTCGGCTGATGTTCTATGCATAACTGAACATAATATGACTTACAATGATACGAATTCATTCAAATTAGATAATTATACTCTTGCATCGTACCATGTTCGAGAAAATCGTCATGGAGGCTCCTGCATACTAGTTAAGAAATGTCATAAATATAAACCTCTTCCTGAAATAGCACAACTTAGTAAAACGAACATAATTGAATGTTGTGCAGTTGAACTTATAGAGCATAAACTTAAAATAATATGTACCTATAGACCTCCAAAAAATAGAAATGAAGATTTGAATAATTTTTTTGTATAATTTCGACTTAATATTAAAAAAAATACTGTAATAATAATAAAAATAAAATTATAATTTGTGGAGATTTTAATATAAATATAATAGATGCAACCAAAATTTCTAAAAATTTTATACAACTATTAACAAGCTACAATCTAAAAACAGCTATAAAAGTACCTACACGACTAATTAGTGATACATGTATCGACAATATTTTTCACAATATTCAAGGGTGTAAGAGCAATACTTATGACTTAGCTTTGTCTGACCATACGGCACAACTGTTAATATGCCTAGTCAAGCAAAGCTACTATCTTAATTACTGGCATATAAGCAGACGCGATTACAATGTAGAAAATCTTCACAAATTTAACAATTACTTGAGCTCTCTCACTTTCAACGAGGTTTATAAGGAAAAAAATCCTAATCTTGCTTTTGACCAATTTCATGACTTGTTTACCCTCCTCTATCGCCTATGCTTTCCTGACATTAAAATTAAAGTCTATTCACGTAAACAAACAAAATGGTTATCTAATGGGATAAAAAAATGTACTAAGCGTAAACGACAGTTATTATGGCAATACAGAAAAAAACGCAGCGTAGAAAATAAAACTATATTAAAAGAGTATTCCCAACGTCTAAACAATATTATCAAACTTACCCAAAAGTCCCAAAATAATTACTATATTAACACAGCACAAAATAAATCGAAAGCTACCTGGCAAGTGATAAATAAATACAAAAATGGCACAAATGAAGAAGCAATTAGTAAAATTTTGTTGATGGTGATATAATTGAGGATCCTCTAGTTATAGCTAGGGCATTTAATAATTTCTATACCAACAAAATTAATAAAGACCGCCCTAATAGTGATAAACCATATAAGTTAACTTTTAACAATCCCAATTCAATTTTTATACCACCCACAACATCATTTGATATAGATAAAGCTATAAAATCTCTTAAAAACACAAACAGTACCGGTTGTGATGAAATTTGTACAAGAGTTCTAAAATACGTATCCGGTGCAATTGCTCCGGTACTTAGTTATATTTTCAATTTATGTATTTGTAATGGTATATTTCCTGAAAGACTAAAGTCTACAATTGTCAAACCACTGTTCAAAAAAAATGATCGGGAGAATATGTCTAACTATAGGCCCATTGCGCTTATACCTGTGCTCTCAAAAGTATTTGAGAAAATAATTTATAACTCTATATATAACTACCTTGAAACGTACAATATTCTTAGAGAAGAACAAATAGGATTTAGAAAAAAATAAGACTATAAATATGGCTCTATACAATTTTTTTAATACCGTTATGTCTAGCCTAAACAATAAAATACCTGTATGTGCACTTTACATGGATCTTACTAAAGCATTTGATTATGTTGATCATAAAATATTACTCAAAAAGCTTGAAGCCAACGGCATTCGAGGTAATTCACTAGATCTACTAACATCATATTTAGTTAACAGAAAACAAAGTACACACATTACAAAAATTTGTCTAAAATCAAGAAAAGAAATGACCTATGTTTCTGAATACAGAGTCGTACAAACTGGAGTACCGCAAGGAAGTGTTTTAGGACCATTGTTGTTTCTTATTTATATCAACGACCTTCCCAACGTCATTAATCACAAAATAGTATTATTTGCTGACGATAGCACAGTTATTTTCACTAGCAGAAACAAAATAGATTTAGAAAGTAACATACACTTTGCTTTAGAGAAAATCATGAATTGGCTAAACATAAATAATTTAAATATAAATTTAGAAAAAACAAAACTTATGACATTCTATCAAAAACGTAATAAAATAAATAATTTAAATATCAATTATCTAGGACAAAAAAATCAATACCATAGATAATATAAAATTTTTGGGTATAAATGTAGATTGCAATTTGAACTGGCAGTCTCATGTGAACAGTGTGTGTATGAAATTAAATCGTTTTTCGTATGCGTTATATATGCTTGGAAAAGTTGTGGACACATCCGCCGTAATGGCATCATATCATGCTTATGTTATGTCTACACTTAGATATGGTATTATGTTCTGGGGTAATTGTACGGACAAAGAAACAGTATTTAAAGCTCAAAAGAGATGCTTACGAGCCATTTGTAAAATTAACCAAAGTGAGAGTTGTAAGCCATACTTCATTAATTTAAAATTATTAACAATGCCATGTCTATATATATATGAGGTAGTCTTATTTGTACGTCAAAACTTAAGCTTTTACAAAAAACTAAATGTCCAGCGTCATAAAGATAAATTGAGCCATCCCAATAGTAAGACTGTTTTGTTTCAAAAAAGCGTATTCTGTATGGGTCCTCGACTGTATAACCATTTACCTAAATATATAAGAGATTCTAAGAGCTTTCACATTTTTAAGAAACAACTAAACACATTTTTAACCATAAAAGCGTATTATAATATTGACGATTATCTATATGACAATTTTTAAATTTTAACTATCAAATTTATTGAACGAAACGTTATCTATGTTATTAATTTTGAGACAATTTATACCTACTCGTTTTGACATTATTACTTGGACATTACAATTTTAATTATTACATGTATTTTATCATTATTTTGTGAATTATTATTATGTTAGTAGCGCAAATATACAAATAGGGTTATATTATGTTAATGTAATTATCGGCATTTTCCATTTAATTTTAATTATAAATAAAATCTAATATTTAAGTAGTTTGCATACCGAAAGGTAGAATATGGCTGTATTTTGTTAAATTATTAAGACCTATTGTAACCCATATATCGCAAATGAATAAAATGAATTTGAATTTGAATTTGACTTTCTTACAATGGGTGCAGATATTCATAATTGTCTTTGTAGAAATCGTTGACAAATTTTTGTTTTTCTGTGATGACATTTTAACAAAAGGTCAATATAATATATATTATCTAATATCTATTTGGTCTCTTACTTTTTAATAAAAAGTTTAAAAATTGCCTTAATATTTTATATTTATACAGTAAATTAAAAGTTACAAAAGAAAAGGAAATAAAGTATTTAATCTTTGAATTTATTGAACGAGTGTTGTACTACTGAGTTATGCATCCGATGTAATTTCAAGCGAAAAAGATGTATAGTACTTATCTGCAATATATTGGCGACAATACTTGTTTACATCACGGTCCAAAGTTCGTTTTGTTCGGTAAACAACGGAGTTTTATACTAACGAACTTTGTATGAACAAAATTTGAAAATCACCCACTTCTTTTAATATAATTTGAATATGTTCACAATTTATTTTGATTATCTTTTAATTCAAATTGATTTTGTAACACATAACTGTATAATTACATATTACACTTAACAATCACTTATTTGTTATTACAACTGTTCGGGTTAATTGTATATTTATGAACGTTTGCAATTTTTTTAATATTGTACTAAGTGCAAGTGCAACAGTCACGTCGTGTGCGCTCCGCGATCGGTATCTCTACTACACTAGATAGAGTATTGTATAGGTGTAGCTTATGCCAGATATGAAATAATATAATATTATAAATTTTTAGTTCTGATGAGGAGCCTTCACAACCAAATAACTCTGAAAAGAAGAAAGAGAAAAAAAAGTCCAGGAAGTCGAAGGACAAACAGGACACAAAACAAAAATTAAAAAAGTTAAAAAAGAAGTTGAAAAAAGTGAAAAAGGCACGTAAAAAAGCTAAGAAGAAGAAATCAAAGAGCTCCAGCAGTGATTCTAGTTCCAGTAGTGAAGAGGAAATCTGGGTGGAAAAAGGAAGTGAGTATTTTCTTTAGTTGAAACACAACTACTGGTTTTGATTATCGTGTGACAATTATATTTATTCATATTGTATTTCTTGAACACATCATGTGGAAAATGGGTTTACTCACAATCTCGTCTTTCATCAGCAAGTAAATTTATGCTTAAAATTGTTTCCGACACTTTCAGTGGTGCTAGGTGGGGCTGGGGATAGAACTCTGATTCACACAAAAACATTGCTGTTTATTGTATGCTATATATTATTAAACTACTAGGGTATAAACAACTACTAAGTATAAAATTGAAGAATTACTTAGTCGGGTCATAAGTTCTGTCAAAACCTTAATATATAAAATTTTTGAATACTGGCCAGATGAACTTCACCAATTTTATAAAATATAATGTTTGCGCTTGCCAAAAATAAATAAGACATTAATTTTCATTCACTATCAAATAAGGAGTGGTCGAAGTAAGAAGTTAGAGTAGCGGTTATCGCGTTGCACTGCTGTGGTTACGTGCCAAAAGAGATTTTCAATATTCTACAAAAATTGGAAATAACCCTACGATTTGTTTATGGCACTATCAAACAATTCACTGAAGATTCAAGATTCGAGCTATCGTAAGAGGACCGGCCGACCTCGTACAGTTAGGACACCCGCGATCATCAAAGCAGTGAAGGCGCAAATCCAACGAAATCCTGTCCGTAAACAAAAAAACTTAGCTCTTCAGATGGGCCTGAGCAGAACCACGGTCAAAAGAGTGATCAATGAAGACCTAGGACTAAGAGCTTATCTTAAGAAGACTGGACATTTTTTGAACAACTGTTTGAAAAAAATTTGGCTGGTTAGATCTACCGCTTTGTTTTTGTTTTCGGGTGAATTTTTTTTTAACATCGAAGAAAGTTGTAATAAACAAAATGGTAAGGTGTATGCCACAGCAGTGAAGAAACCAGCACGCGTATTCCGAGGGTTCAACGAGCACATTATCCTTCGTCACTCATGGTTTGCCTCGGAGTCTCATATTCAGGCTTAACCAAGGTGTTTTTCTGTGAAAAAGGTGTGAAAACCAGTGCTGAGGTGTACCAAAATACCGTCCTAACAAACATAGTTGAACCTCTTACTCAAACAATGTTCAAAAACAGACATTGGATATTCCAACAGGACTCTGCACCAGCTCATAGGGCACGAAGCACGCAAATCTGGTTGACCGCCCATGGAATTGACTTTATCGGACATGAAGACTGGCCCTCTTCTAGTGCAGATTTAAGCCCACTGGATTATAAGATATGGCAACATTTTGAGTAGAAAGTCTGCGCTAAACCTCATCAGAATTTGGAATCTCTCTGAGCATTTTTGGCTAAAGCAGCGGCAGAAATAGATATGAGTGTGGTGCATGCTGCGATTAAGCTAATGTATTCAAAATAGGGGAGAGCATTTTGAATAATGTAAATAAAATTGTATTCTAAATTAAATTAACTTTCATTTCATTTATAATTTCTATATAATTATAAAAAAGGTTATCATTAATTTTATAGAAGTTTTTGACAGAACTTAAGACCTGATTATAAGTATTATTTATTGACATTGTGTTACACTTATCTCATGTTGGTCTAGGACATATAGGTCCCATGTTTATGTAGAACTAGTTACAGAAAACAGCGTGCCAACAGTGTTACTTGTCTAGCTTGTCGTAAAAGGTGACTAATAAATACTCATAGAATAGAATAGAGGTGTGTTGGGTGAACCACATATTTTCACATACACCCATATTTACATAGGTAGGTATATTATATAATATAGCTGCAGCATGGCTCTACCGTAGGGCGACCCCCCACTAGATGGAGTGACGACCCGGTAAGACATGCAGGAAGTCGATGGATGCAGGTGGCTCAGGACCGTGCTTTGTGGCATACCTTGCTGGAGGCTTATGTTCAGCAGTGGACTTGTGAAGGGCTGTAATGATGATGATGTCTCTACCATATACTATGGTTATAGCACAAATGGGTCGGCCCGACCTGGAAGGACTATGCTCTCACAGAATACCAGTGTAAAATAGCAGCTTAATGTTGCTATTTTTTGTATGATGAGTGTAGATAACTGGAGACTCTTTTACTGAAAACGATTGGATAGCACATAGTCCATCTGATAGGTAAGTGGACACTGTGGGCAATAAGACATTTTGATTATTAATCCTCGATTTAAGAATCAAAATGCTTGAAGAATCAAATTGCATTGTTACACCTAGGAACTAATAATATAATAATAATTTAATAAAAGATACTAAAATGGAATGCCTTGTTTCAATTAAAAACGGATTTCCGGTTTTTTATTAAACTACTGCAAGCAAGGCTTAAACAAATAACATTAATGTTTTCATTCACACCTAAAATGTTGCTCTCCCTAATTTTGCAGAGGAGCACGAAATTGAAACCATTTCACAATCACGTACAGCAAGCAAGAAAGACGAAGATCTGTGTGCGGAGACTGTAGGTCCAGTGCCACGTAGTGCTGGCGTTTTGGGTGCGAAGGACTTCGGTCGCGCGTTATTACCCGGCGAGGGAGCTGCCATGGCAGCCTTCGTGGCTGAAGGCAAGAGGATTCCTCGCCGTGGAGAGATCGGACTCACCTCCGAGGAGATCGCATCTTACGAGGCCGTTGGATACGTCATGAGTGGCAGCAGGTTGGTCATATATTGTGCTGTATTGCGTTATGGAGTACGCCTGTGTTGGTTTGTGGGTAAGTGTTTGGCTGCAGAGTCACGAGTTCAATATGTCTCTTGAACATTTTAAAGTTCTGGATGTTTGTCTTATAATTTATGTATGTATTACGTACATGTATGTATATTTATGTATGTATTCCTCACCGTGTAGTGGCAGTCTAAGATGTCCACTACCTCATGTCAATCCGTGGGTGTCATAAGAGTCACCAGAGAGAAACAAATCAGATGGACAGCAGTGTCTTCCTAATAACGACTGAAAATAAAAAACTGCGGTACCCGATCGCTTGCTAAGCGTGGCAACTATGCTAAATATTCCCCTATGAGGCAATCTATGTGGGATGCCTGTGCTCAGCAGTGGGCTTTAATGGACTAACAGTAACAGTATATATTCCATCTAAGTACTCAGGGTCGACAATTACTAGACCAACGATCGTATGACAATACTAATAGTTTAAATGTTGTGGCTGCAGTACGACTGCAATTGGTCAGCTCGACGAAGGAAATGATTACGTTCTCAAGGAATACCAGCTTAAAATAAACAAGACCATCCATCTTAATCCTCAAGGATGACAACGCATTTGTATTTTCATTCTTAATCAAGAGAAGATGTAGATTTCTATAAGCCAAAACATCCACTTACGATCAGATGAACTTTGCAAATATTGTCACCCTTAGTCTATAGAAAAGAATGTATGTAACCCTGCAGGGATTACACACATTTTTCACTAGCGATCGGCTCCTACTTCACATGGGTGATGTATGGATCTAGATAACAGCGCCATCTGCCGGATCCAATAATGTTTTTAAACCATCCAGGGACTCACTCGAATATGCACAAAAAAATTCATCAAAATCCATGGAGCAGTTTTCGAGTTTTAGCGAGACTAATGGACAGCAATTTATTTTTATATAAAAGATTTTTCATAACTCTGGGGATGATCATGGACTTAAGATTTTTATTGCTTGCTTACCCTTCGGAAGCATAAAGGAATCTTCAATTCCTTCTAATTCGCATAAATAAGTGCTCCGGCAAATAATGATACAACCACCTTGTATATGATAATACAAAAATCTAAAGTGCAACATCTATAATTACTATCGCCAAACTAGTTGTAAAGCATAGCATATAATGTCAATTTTTTATACAATGAATGAGAGAGCTCTTTGCTATATTATCTAACGATAGCCAGTTATCGGGATTGATGAATAATTAAAGATTGAGTATTAATGTTCATATATGGCTATATTTTTATTTAGATAGCATATTCTTTTCAGGCGTAATTCGTGAGGGCCAAAAAAATCAGTTATTGAGTTTTTCTGCAAAGAAACTCTTAGCTCCATGCCTCGGAAATCACGTATAGCCTGTCTTGTGCCTGATCTCTCTTCGGTCGTGTCGGTTTACCGTCCCATCGGACTATGAGAGTAAAGGAATAGAGAGTAGAGTGCACCTGTGCTTGTGCTTACTCCTGCCCTTCGCAGATTGAGTCCGTTGAGACTGGCCGCCGTGACCTAAATTCGGTCTGTAGGTGGACATTATGTTCGTGCTATTAATAAACTTGTTGTTTAACAGACACCGTCGTATGGAGGCCGTGCGTATCCGCAAGGAGAACCAGATCTACTCTGCGGACGAAAAGCGTGCCCTGGCCGCATTTAGCAAGGAGGAACGAGCAAAGCGAGAGAACGCGATACTGGCGCAGTTCCGCGATGTTCTGCAGGCGCGCAAGCAGAGGCGGGACAACACTTAGCTTCAGGACACAGGAGACTAAACGAACTCGCCTACCTACCTAACGGACTCGACGAACTCAGCTGCCGACTCGACGTCTTCACGAACTCAACTGTGGGCTCAAAGAAATCGACGCAATTGCCTGCCGGGTCAATAAACTTACTTGACAGCTTGTTTGACTCATCTCACAGTTTGACAAATTGATCAACTCCCTAAACGGACATACATACGGAATCAAAAACTTTACTGAATTATTTATTAAACACGATTCTGACTCAACAAATGCATCCACCGGCTTTTAAGGATCTCAACTGTTAAATTAATTAAAATGCAAGCAGATTTATCGGATTCATCTGTCACTTTTATGAACTCGGATAATTTTATTGGACTCACTCAACCAATTCAACCAAACTCGCTTGTCTGCTAAACACTAAATGAGTTTACCAACTTTTACGAAATCAAACCGTTTGCTAATGAAAGTTATGTTAATTGTTTACTTGCTTGTAGTGAACAACTGAAAATAATATGATAGAAATTTAAACTAAAACTTATTTTATTTCATTAATTGTTATTTAATAATAAGTAAAAGAAACAAACATAGAAGCCGCCTAATTATTAGTAAACATAAACCCATACACCTACATCTATCCTCTGTGAAGAGTCAAAATTTAAATACATTGTCCAACTACTTGTGTAACTACTTGTGTCAAGGACTAATTTGTAATGCCTTGTCAGTAAAATTGGTCTCCGGTTCTCAACACTCACCCTTTGAAACGCTTGTGTCGTTAAAAAATTAACGATATTTTATTGATTGCTCTGTAGTAGCAATGGCGACATCAGAGACAAGCTGTAACGCCCTATTTCACCCCCATAGGGGTTGAATTTTCCAAAATCCTTTCTTAGTGGGTGTCTGTGTTGAGAATGGAGTGTATATGGTAAATTTTAAGTTGTTCGGCGTATAGTTTAGAAGAGATCTTGATGAATGAGTCACTGAGTGAAATACCATTATATGTATAAGATATGGCACCATCCGCAGACTTCATAGCTAATTTCGATATTTTATATCTGACATATACGAGATGGTATCACCGCCATCTATTGGAGGCCGGATTTTTAAAGCCCTTCCCGTGACCGCCTTTTTAATAGGAGAGGGGTCAAACGAGCATGCGGCTCACCTGATGTTAAGTGACTACCGCCGCCCATGATCAACCGCAACACCAGGGGAATTGCAGGTTCGTAGCCGGCCTTTTAAAAAGAAGTAAGCTCTTTTCTTGAAGGTCCCTAAGTCGCATCGGTCCGGAAAAATCGCCTCTTACGATACCCACAAAGAGTATAGTAATATGAACAATAATATATAATTATTTTTTTCTATTATTTCATTCATACTACAAAGCACTGTCCTTAGCCACCTGCATTCATCGACTTCCTGCATGTCTTACCAGGTCGCCACTCCCATCTAGTGGCGGTCGCCCTTCACTTTGCTTACCGGTACGAGGCTGCCACTCGTACTCGTGCCCTTTCTTGCCCATCGGTTGTCGGTTCTTCGAGCTATTTGGCCGGCCCATTTCATCTTTACGATCCGTTGGCCTGTGTATGTCTGTTACTCTGATTCTACTGCGGATATCCTCAATTTAAGTCTATCGCGTCTTCTCCATAGCTCGATGAGCGACTTTAAGCTTCCCCATTGGTCAGCAGGTGAAGGACCACGTCTCAGATCCTTAAATGTAATATTAGATAATAATAACAATTATGGCGTAGAGAAGTGACAACCCTATCGCCCGATGATGTAAGAGTTGATTGCAAAAACTCGGCGGAATATGAAGCGGTGCCAGGCCCGGATGTCTCCCCTTACTAACCGCATTCACGACTTCTGCCACTAGGGCGGCGCCACTTTGAAATGAGTTGAAATATTTGACAGATTACTTAGCGGGGAAGTTAATATGTTTGGAAAATATAAAGGTTAATGTAGCTTTCTTGTAATATTAGTTATATTTTATATTAATTAGAAATGAATAAACCAAACTAAGAATATTGTTTTGTACTGGTCGGGGAAAAGTTTCTTCGTATTTTGTTTGTATAAAACTGAAGAAAAGTCACTTTGCTTGTACTGTTTGTATCTAGCTGGTTTTAATATCAATACATATAGGACATTAAGAAAAAAGCAAAAAAAAAAAAACAATCCCGCCATTTTTCAATTGTTTCTCTGTCCGCCAAAATGAATGAATCTAACGAATAAATTCGATTCATTCTGAAGTTTTATTACAAAGAAGGGAAATACGCAATTCAAGCCACGAAAAAAAATGTGACGTTTATGAACCTAATGCAGTGTCAGTAAGAGTAGCACAAAGTTGGTTTTTATAGTCCGGCAATTTTGATGTCAAATCATTTGCCTCTTTGCCTATCATGCCTTGTATTTTTTGATGCACCAGGTGTAAACAATTTTTATTATGTTGTGGAGTCATACACTTGTAATTATTAACAATTTGTCAGCTACATTCTAAATTATTTAAATTATTATAACTGCTAGAGATTGACTCTATTGTCACATTTTCTAAATTAAATAACTTTGAACTGATTCCAAATTGCATGTCAAATCATTATGCTGCTCAATAGGAGCAGTGTTCTGGGTAGTCAAGTCCTTGGCTGAGTTATATAGCTATATATTAATATACTTATATTAAATCTGTAAAGAGGTCAATTCTGTACATGAAATATATTTCCAAAATAACTATCAGGGGTGATTAGTGATCGATACTGACGCCAAAAATGCAAACAGTAAAATTTTTGTCTGCCTGTCTGTCTGTCTGTATATTCGTTATAGAAACAAAAACTACTCGACGGATATTAACGAAACTTGGTACAATCATTCTTCATACTCCTGGGCAGGTTATAGTATACTTTTCATCACGCTACGATCAATAGGAGCAGAGCAGTGAAGGTAAATGTTGGGGAAACAGGAGAAATTACTCCATTTTTAAGCTTCCGTCGCGTGTGCAGCCTTAATTGTTAAAGCTACACAGAAATCATGTATAACGGAAATGTTCTTAAAATTATATAAAAAATATCCCACGACAGCATATGTCTATCTTTTATGGTTGACTCACAATCACACGTGTAACTCCCGATAGCTTAGCAGTTCGGAGCTTTCTGATTATATTTGTGTACTCTTACGTTTATAAAACTCACTCTACCCTAATTAAAAAAAAGTTAACATTATTATCTATTCAATAAAAAGAATCATAGAAATCTGTATGGAAACACCAAAGTTATACATGAAATACGCTAATAAGCCATCGCGCGTGAATACTGAATCATGCTATAAAGATTATTTATGTGTAACGGTCGCCCCGCTCGACGCAGCTCGCGGCGGGAGGTATAAAAAGACGGGGGGTCCGAGTGCGAGCCTCCTACGCGGGCCCCGTCTTTGCCCACGCAAACCCTAACATAATAAATGAACTCCAAATAGTTCAGAACCTCTTCTGCCGTCGAGCTGCGAACGCACCTTGGTACGTCCGTAATGCCGACCTTCATCGGGACTTAGAGCTCCCAACAATTCAACAATTCCTTAAAAAACTCTCTGAGAACTTCTTCAAAGTCTCAGAGTCGCACCCAAATCAATTAATTCGTGAGGCAGCTTATGCAGCCCCACTGCCCTCTCGCTATCGTGTCCGCAGGCCGAGAAACTCTCTCTCGGACCCGCCTAATAAACTGTCAAACGACCTGAACTGTCTCCCTGGCGGCTCAGGCCAACTCTAATTAAACTAAATTATTGTATTAACCAACTTTAATTTGCCTTCGTAGGCACTCCCTCAGCGGCACTTAGCCGCCTGCGCCCTCTTTTTCCCAAAAGAGGGTCGCTCATGATAAGGCACAATACAGCTTAATCAGCCGGTTGCCTGTCCCCAAAGGCGGTTTTTAGAGGGTATCACTTAGGGTCCCCGGTAGGACAGTGAGCCCCTCATAACCACGATAGACCGGCTATCGTGGTATGCGTAATGCATTTTCCGCCTCCCTACGTATAGGGTAGCCCTTTAATTGCTTCGGGCGCAAAAAAAAAAAAGTGCGAGCCTCGGGACCTAGAGCTCCCTACAATTCAACAATTTCTTAAAAAACTCTGAGAACTTCTTCAAAGCCTCAGAGTCGCACTCCAATCGTCTTATTCGTGAGGCAGCTACTTATGTAGCCCCACCCCCCCTCTCGCTATCGAGTCCGCAGGCCGAGAAACTCTCACTCGGACCCGCCTAATAAACTGTCAAACGACCTGAACTGCCTCCTGGCGGCTCAGGCCAACTCTAATTAAATTATTCATAATTAATTTGCCTTCGTAGGCACTCCCTCAGCGACTCGTAACCGCCTGCGCCCTCTTTTCCTAAAGGAGGGTCGCTTCCGATACGGCATAAGAAGCTTAAACAGCTGGTTGCCAGTCCCCAAAGGCGGTTTTTAGAGGGTATCACTTAGGTTCCCCCGGCAGGCAGTGAGTCCCTCATAACCACGATAGACCGGCTGTCGTGGTATGCGTAATGCATTTTCCGCCTCCCTACATAAAGGGTAGCCCTTTTCCAATTGCTTCGGGCGTAAAAAAAAAGTGCGAGCTTCATACAATATTTGGCTGTTGATGCGAATAAACGTTCAGAGTTTTCGACCTTATTGACAGTCAATAATTGATTTTATCAAACCGTGCTTATCAGCACGACTTTTCATCTACTCTTACGTTTAATAATTTATTTTTAGATTTCTTTGGTTGTTATTTTATAAAATAGGTATTAGTTATTTTGGTAGTGTTGAAATATTTCTTAGTATTAGCTTAATTATAAATTAAACTTTTTATTTTATTTAGCTATAGTTTTAAATAGGTACCTAGGTATCAAATAGGTTATTTCATTCGATTTAGACGTAGTTTAGGTACCTACTTGTATATAGAATTTAATTTTGGATTTAAGGATTTACTTAGGATCCGTTTTATTATTTAAGTAGGCATTTAGATTTTTTTAAGTGTATGGTAGCTATAGTTAGGACCTCTGA